GTTCAATTGCTCAGTCGTGTCCGACTCTTTGCGACCCCATGGACTGCAGCACGCCAGGCTTCCCTGTCCTTCACCAACTCTCGGAGCTTGCGCAAACTCATGTTCATCGAGTCAGTGATGACATAAGAGGTCGTAAGAGATAATAAAGAGGTTTAGTGCCTACTTGAAGGGCCTGATGAATGTCTGTAAGAATCTCTGTGGCCTGAGATCGGGGAAGGACATAGCAGCCCTGTTTTTGTAACCAGTCTCCTTGTAGTTGTGCTCCCTCTTGTAATAATTGTGTGTTTTCTTCGTGGCGGTGAAGGGGTTGTATGTTGGAGATTACTATAAATTATTGAGCTGGTGATGGAGTGAGGCTTGTTTTGCTTCTCTGTCTGCGATGTTGTTGCCCCATGAAATGAGGTCTGAGGCCCCCTGGTGACCTTGGCAACATATGATGCCTACTTCAGTTGGCATATTAGCTGCTTTTAAAAGCTGGAGTATAAGCCGGGCGTTAGTTATGGGAGAACCTTTAGCAGATAGGAGCCCTCGCTCCTTCCAGATGGAAGCATGTAAGTGTATGATGTGGAAAGCACATTTAGAATCAGTGTATGTGTTTGCTCTCTCGTTGGCTGCGAGGGTAAGTGCTCTAGTTAGTGCAATAGTACTGCCTTTTGGGATGAGGTTCCCCAGGGGAGAGGCTGGGATTCAATAATTTCAGTGTCAGAGACAGTGGCACATCCAGCTACCTTTTCCCTTCTGATGTCATAGAAGAGCTGCCATCCATATGCCAAGTAAGGTCAGGGTCATTTAAAGGCGTTGAGGAAACGTGGGAGAGACGGGGCGTCAGGTCCCCCAATGCCATAAAGTCAGGGTCATTTAAAGGCGTTGAGGAAACGTGGGAGAGACGGGGCATCAGGTCCCCCAATGCCTCTTTGCAAGTATGGGTGGGGGGCTCAGAAGAATTTGGGATAAGGATGGCAGGGTTGAGAGTAGGGCAGCGTTCGAAGGAAAACTCAGGAGATTCAAGAAGGGTGGCGTGAATTAGTTGAATGCGTGGAGATAGAAGGGTCATGGATTTGTGAGGAAGTCCTTAAAGTCATGTGGTGAACGAATGACAGTGGGTGCTCCAAAAGTCAGGTTTTTACTTTCCTGAACGAGGAGCACAGCTGCTGCCAGAGCACGTAGGCAGGCTGGCTGTGCTCAAATTGTGGTAATAGTTGCTTTGACAGATAAGCAACAGGGGTGAAGGAGGGGCCCTAATTTTGTCTCAAAACTCTTAGGGCAATTTTGTGGCTCTCAGTAGTATATAAAGGGGTGAGAAAGGTCAGAAAGTGTGAGAGCTGGGGCTTGCTTAAGGGTGTTAAAGCCTGAATGGACATTTGACTTTAGCTCTAGGGGTTCTGAAAGACCTCCTCGGGTGGCTGGATATAGGGCTTGTGCCAAGAGGGTGAAATTAGGAATCCAGAGGTGTAGATATCCAGCTAACCCCAAGGAGGACAGGATCTCTGCTTTTGATGTAGGGAGTGGTAGGGTAGATATCAGGGACTTTCTATCGGTAGTAATATATCTTTTGGTTGGTAATAAAAGGACTATAAGATAGGTGACTCTAGGAAGAGAGAGCTGAACCTTGGTGGGAGACACTCGATAGCCTCGATTGGCTAGAAAATTAAGGAGTTGTATAGTGTTGTTGAGAGTGCGTACGCGAAGGACTACAAAGGAGGAGATCATCCACATATTGGAAGACAGTACTCAGAGTAAGGTGAAGAGAAGTTAGGTCTGATGCTAGAGCTTGGCCAAAGAAATGATGGCTATCACGGAAGACTTGTGGACTGGCCCTGTCAGCCATTGGGAACGATGACTGTCTGGATCGGTCCAGATAAAGGCAAGAGGTCTTGAGAGTCTGGGTATAAAGGGATAGAAAAGAAGGCATCCTTGAGGTGTAGAACAGTGAAGTGGGTAGTGGAAGAGGGAATGAGAGAAGAGTATAGGGATCTAGAACTACTGGCTGTATGGGGATGACAGCACACTGACGACTCTCAGTTCTTGGACCAGGCCATAGGAGCCATTTGGCTTTTTGATGGGTAGGACAGGGGTGTTATAGGGAGAGTGGCTTGGGAGCAAGAGGCCCTGATGTAGGAGTTTGGTGATGATGGGCTTTAACCCCTGTTGATGTTTTTGGGAGATTGGATATTGTGGTTGACTGGGGAACTTAGAGGGGTTTTTGAGGTGGATATGAATTGAGCATGGTGAGAGGTGACAGATGGGTTGTCTGTATCCCAAACTATGGGGTTTATGGACGAGGAGGGCAAGGGGGTGGGGGAAGAGGAGGTGGGGTTGAGGAGCAGTAGCCAGCCTAGATCAGAAGGTGGGCTTGGGACAGTAATAGAGGCTTTGAATTTTGAGAGAACGTCTCTCCAAGAATAGGAGTGGGGCATTTTGGGAGTATGAGAAAAGAATGGGAAAATGGGGTATCTTGAAGTGTGCAAAGTACAGGCTCGGTTATTTGTAGTGTAGATATTAAACCATTAACCCCCATAACAGAGACCTGAGACCTTGGATTCTCCAGAGTAGGCAGGCAGAGCAGAGCAACTGGCCGCCCACGTCGATGAGAAAAGAGATTGGCTTACTTGCCACAGTAAGAGTTACCCCGGGCTCCTTAGAGGTGAGGAGTGTCAGGGCCTGGGGCCCTGGGCACCTTCAGTCCTCAGCGGCAAGCCCGAGGAGGCTGGGCAGAGCTGGGCCGGAGGACTCCTGCTCGGGACCAGCAGGGGATGTCCGGCTCCCTGGAGGGGGATTTGGGCAGTGGACCTTCCAATGTTCCTTTATGCCTCAGCTGGAACGTGGACCTGGAGGGGGCCTCGGTTTAGGCCTGAGTGGGCCCAGTGATCGTCTTTGCCACAGGTGAAGCAGGGCCCGGGGGGCTTCCTGTCTTTGTTGATTGATGGAAACATGGAGCCATGTAGGATGATGGCTAAAAGTGGTATTTAACCTGATCCCCCTGGGCCTTCTCTAGATTTGTCTTCTCTTCCTGGTTATTGAAAATCTTAAAGGCTAAATTGAAAAGGTCTCGTTGAGGGGTTTGAGGGCCTTCTGCCTTTTTTAGTTTCTTTCGGATATCTGGGGACGACTGGGAGACAAAATGGGTGTTAAGGACAGTGGTGCCCTCTGCTGAAGTGGGGTCTAACCTTGTATGTTTTTGTAGGGCTTCCGTTAACCTGGCTAGAAATTGTGCCCAGTTTTCGTCTAGTCCTTGAGTTATTAGCTGGAGTTTATCAAGGTTGACAGCTTTATGCCCTGCCTTTTGAAGGCCCATGATGAGGCAAGCAACCCTGTGATTATGGGCTGTTCATCCAGGTCTCCCTGCCTGATAATCCCAGCTGGCATCATCTCGGGGGACAGCCGTGGCCCCTGTGGGCTTTAGAATTGTTTGTCCTGTGCATGCCTGGGAGGCCTGCCACACTCGTTCCTTCTCTTCTGGGAGAAGAGTGGAGGAAAGTATGATGTAAAGATCATGCCAGGTTAAGTCGTAAGACTGGGTAAGATACTTGGATTCTTTTAGATAATTATCAGGGTCTGAAGAGAAGGAGCCAAGCTGCTTTTCAATCTGAGACAGATTGGTAAGGGAGGGTGGGACATGAACCCCAGCAAGGCCTCCTGCTCCAGCTGCTTCCCATACAGGGAGGAGAGGAGCCGGGTAAGGAGTGGGGTCCTGTAGTGAAGTTTCCTGCTTTAAAGTTGTTCAGGGCCGGGTATGGGAGGGGATCTCAGGAGGGAGGTCGGGGTAAAGCCTTGGGACTCTCTGGTAGAGGCTGGGGCTGAGGTCTCAGAGCTTATCTCAGGCACAGGCTGGGGAGGGGGGCTGGGAGCGGCAGAGGAGGCCTGCACTGAAGAAGGGGGGAGGGAGGAGGGGACGTAAGGTGGACGTTGTGAAACTCGATCTGGAGCAGCTGCAAGGGGATTGGGAGCGATAGGGGGTGGACTGTGGTTGGACAGATCGAAGGAAGAAGAAAAGTCTGAACAGGGATTAGGAGACACCGTATGAGGAGAATGTGGCCCAGAGTGGGCTAAGAGCGTTTGAGAAGTAGAACAGGATTCATAGAGGGGGTCGTGAGCGGAGAGCGAAGAAGGCCTGGACACAAGGGATCTCTGACCACTTGCTGTTGTGGCGGCAGACGTTACTGAGGTCCCATAGAGGATTATAATCAAGAGTTCTGTTTTCTGGCAATTGGGATCTATTATCAAGTCTGTACTGTGGCCTGACAGTGTTAGAATAGTAAATAAGTCTTTTTGGTCTAATTGCCCCTTGGAAACCCAAGGCTTTTAGGTTTCGGAGAAGGCATGCTGGAGGAGCAGATTTTGAGGGCTGGGATTGAGAATTTTCCATCACGGCTGAATAGGAAGGGTAGACAAGGGTGAGTGAAAGCGAGGAGAAAGGTCCAAGAGAAAAGGCATCCCTGTTCTCAGGACCTTCTCAGAGAGTAATAATAGTCTGCTTTGAAATGGGTGTCTCCTATTTCAGAGTCAGATGGGGCACAAGGCTGAGGGCCCAAGGGCCTTGGGGATCCGAGAGAGACGCTTGTCGCAGTTTCTCGGCCACGTACCAGGGAGGGGACCATGGGAGGTGGGCTCGGGAGAGGAGCCCACCAAGCTGTGGTGGATCTTCCCTCCCAGGTTCCAGCCCCAGAATGTTAGGCAAGGAGAAAAAGAGGGCGAGGGGGCAGGCAGGCAAGAAAAGGAAATTTATTAGAGGGAAATGAGAGGGTGACTGGCCCTTAAGGAGAACCAGTGTCCTCCCTTTCTGACGGGATCTTTCTTACACCCTGCCAATGAAAAACTCTCTGAAGAGATGGTTAATTTTTAGCCTGTAGTTGAGTCCTGTGGTCACGTAGCGAGGTCTGGAACCTGGCGGTCTCGTAGCTTCGAGAGGTAGATGCCAGTGGGAAAACAGAATGCCATTTGGGCAATTTGGTCAGTCTCAAGGGTCACTGTGATTTTGTTCTTTGTTTGCAAGGTCAACATCATGAGCCATTTCTACCGTGAGCACCCAGGTAGGCCCGATGAGCTCCCAGGGGCACAATTTCCTCATTTAGTGTTGTTTTGATATGCCCGAGCGGTAGTCCATCGTACATACGGAGCACACCTTGTTGGAGCCTTAATCTGTTGGTGAGGTTTTGCTGTTTATCAGTGTTGCTCTTGTAGGTGGTGCTGCAGCGCTCGTTGGGGTGCCCGTGTCTTTGGAAAGATGGATTTCTCGGGATCTAGGACCAGATGGGAGAATGTTAGATCCTAGGCTTAGCCTCTTTCGATAGTTTATTTTCAGGCATTCGGAGACTGTCAACTATCCTTCGTTTTGCCAGACTACCTTCCCACCGACTGTGTAGGGGGTTCTTCTTACTCAGTGGCATTCCTGCAGTAATTAGGGATGCAGAGAATCTTGGCCTGTGGTGATCTGGGTTTTGTATTGTTTTATTTCCTAAAGTTTGTGCAGAAAATTTCCCTTTGCTGTTGACTTCCTGAAAATCCATGGTGCTTAGAATTTCTTTCTGCAATGCCCACCCCAGGAAATGGCCTGAGGGCAGCAGTCATTGACAACCCCCCAGGACATCTGAATGTTGGTTTAAAACTCAATATTCAAAAAACAAAGATCATGGCATCCTGTCCCATTACTTCCTGGCAAATAGATGGGGACATAATGGAAACAGTGACAGACTTTATTTTGGGGGGCTCCAAAATCACTGTAGATGGTGACTACGGCCATGAAATTAAAAGACACTTGCTCCTTGGAAGAGAAGCTATGACCAATCTAGACAGCATGGTAAAAAGCAGAGACATTATTTTGCCAACAAAGGTCCATCTAGGCAAGGCTGTGGTTTTTCCAGTAGTCATGTATGGATGTGAGAGCTTGACTATAAAGAAAGATGAGTGCTGAAGTATTGATGCTTTTGAACTGTGGTATTGGAGAAGACTGGTGAGAGACCCTTGGACTGCAAGAAGATAAAACCAGTCAATCCTAAAGGAAATCAGTCCTTAATATTCATTGGAAGGACTGATGCTGAAGCTGAAGGTCCAATACTTTGGCCACCTGATGCGAGGAACTGATGCACTGAAAAGACCCTGATGCTGGGAAAGATCGAGGGCAGGAGGAGAAGGGGACGACAGAGGAGGAGATGGTTGGATGGCATCACTGACTCAACGGACATGTGTTTGAGCAAGGTCAGGGAGATGGTGTAGGACAGGGAAGCCTGGCGTGCTGCAGTCCATGGGGTCTCAAAGAGTAGGACACTGAGTGACTGAACAACAAGGACATTTGAAGTAGAAATGCCAGTAAGCACAGTTGGTTAGAACTGGACATGGAACAACAGACTGGTTCCAAATAGGGAGTACATCCAGGCTGTATATTGTCACCCTGCTTATTTAACTTATATGCAGAGTATATCATGAGAAATGCTGGGGTGGATGAAGCACAAGCTGGAATCAGGGTTGCCAGGAGAAATATCAATAACTTCAGATATGCAGATGATACCATCCTTATGGCAGAAAGTGAAGAACTTAAGAGCCTCTTGATGAAAGTGAAAGTGGAAAGTGAAAAAGCTGGCTTAAAGCTCAACATTCAGAAAACTAAAATCATGGCATCTGGTCCCATCACTTCATGGCAAATAGATGGGGAAACAGTGGAAACAGTGACAGACTTTATTTTTTTGAGCTCCAAAATCACTGCAGATGGTGACTGCAGCCATGAAATGAAAAGACACTTACTCCTTGGAAGAAAAGTTATGACCAACCTAGACAGCATATTAAAAAGCAGAGACATCACTTTGTCAACAAAGGTCCGTCTAGTCAAGGCTATGGTTTTTCCAGTGGTCATGTATGGATGTGAGAGTTGGACTGTAAGGAAGCTGGGGGCTGAAGAATTGATGCTTTTGAACTGTGATGTTGGAGAAGACTCCTGAGAGTCCCTTGGACTGTAAGGAGATCCAGTCAGTGCTAAAGGAAGTCAGTTCTGTATATTGTTTGGAAGGACTGAAGTTGAAGCTGAAACTCCAATACTTTGGCCACCTCATGCGAAGAGTTGACTCACTGGAAAAGACACTGATGCTGGGAAAGATTGAGGGCAGGAAGAAAAAGGGACGACAGAGGATGAGATGGCTGGATGGCATCACCGACTCAATGGACATGAGTTTGAGCAAACTCTGGGAGTTGGTGATGGATAGGAAGGCCTGGCGTGCTGCGATTCATGGGGTCGCAAAGAGTCGGACACTGAGCGACTGGACTGAACTGAACAGGCGGTGTGGTTGTCATTACAGGAAGTTCCCACAAGGCGGCAGCACTTTCCCCTGCCCGCCTCTGGTTCCCCAGACCACCAGAGCCTCAGGGAAAGTGGGCTTCCTGGGCTGTGAATTGGAGTGCAATGTGTCAGAGCAAAATACCTGCAGTCTTGTGACTCGCTGCTTCTTCCCCCTAAAGCTTCACACACCCGACCCCCAGACTAATCCCAAACATGGCCACAGCACCCAGCTGAGGGTACTTAGGTGCTAGGAGGCTGTGCTCTCAGGAAAGAGGCTTGAGCTGGGAACCTCAGCAGCAGGAGATGTGCAGGCTAGGTGACTGTTGCCTCCATGACCCTCCAGGCTTTGATCCCACTTGGGACTCTGGTCCCAGCTGAGACAAGCAGATGGTCGTGATTTTCAAACGGGTTCAGAAATAACAATAACTAAAAAGGGGCTCAATGAAGGGCACCCTGCCAGGCTGTCTGGACCCCACCCCAGTCCAGCCTTGGGACTCAAGCCTACTCAGGCTCCTGGGATCCCGTAGAAGCCCAAATGTGGAAGGTTGGAAACAATAAAGTTGACATTGATCTTCTCTCCTTTCCTTTGACTTCGTGCCGATGAAGTAGGAGTAGAGTCAATCTCCCACCCTGCGCTTGTCACTTTACAGTTGGCTGATTCAGGTATGGCGTATCCATGGGATATATCTAGTCTTTTGGGGTTTGTTTTTTTTTCGGCCATAGAGTTTATTGCAGAAGGTCGAGCAATGTGCTGAGCATCTGGTCCTTGTGGGCTATCTCTCTCACATGCAGTGTTCTGTGTATATGAGGAAGGAAGGAAGAAAATAGCCTGTGTGGAGTATGTCTTAAAGATGCACATTTCTGTGTATAGGTGAGAGACAGACATCTCTGTGTGTATGTGGAAGGGAGGAAGGAAGGAAGGAAGCTGATAATCCTTGGGGATTACTACTACATATACAGATTTCTGTGTCTATATTAGCCCCAACCTCCTAATTCATCCCAGGCCCTTCACTTTTTTCTTGAACCCTTGGCTTGAATTTGAATTCTTAGAGTCTGTCTTCGGGTTGTAAATTCTTTCGTTTCACCTTGTTTATTTTGCCCAGAAGGGACATCTTGTGTTATTGGCTTCCTTTGTCTGGCTAAGGTCCTTTAGGGCATGCTCCTTCTAGATCTATCCCTGTGGCTACCAGTGACATAATTTCCTTACTTCAGTTTTGGTTTTTATGGCTAATAGTCTATCATATATATGTAGCACATCTTGTTTAAGCTTAATCTATCGGTGAAAATTTTGCTCTCTCTCTGTTGGTTATTGTAAATAATGTTGCAGTGCTAGTTGCGGTGTCCATGTGACTTTTTGAATGATGGATTTATCAGTGTGGGAATGTCAGATCCTAGACCTAGCCTCTCTTGATAGTGTATTTTCAGGCATTCAGAAATGCTTTATTCAGGCATAAGAAACTCTTCCTCAGTGATCAATGCAAAGAAATAGAAGAAAACAATAGAATGAGAAAGACTAGAGATCTCTTCAAGAAAATTTGAGATACCAAGGGAACATTTCACACAAAGATGGGCACAATAAAGGACAGAAATGGTATGGACCTAACAGAAGCAGAAGATATTAAGAAGAGGTGGCAAGAATACACAGAAGAACAATACAAAAAAGATCTTCATGACCCAGATAATCACAATGGTGTGATCACTCACCTAGAGCCAGACATCCTGGAACTCAAAGTCAAATGGGCTTTAGGAAGCAGCACTACAAACAAAGCTAGTGGAGGTGATGGAATTCCAGTTAAGCTATTTCAAATCCCAAAAGATGATGCTGTGAAAATGCTACACTCAATATGCCAGCAAATTTGGAAACCTCAGCAGTAGCCACAGGACTGGAAAAGGTCAGTTTTCATTCTAATCCCAAAGAAAGGCAATGCCAAAGAATGTTCAAACTACTGCACAATCACACTCATCTCACACACTAGCAAAATAATGCTCAAAATTCTCCAAGCCAGGCTTCAACAGTACGTGAACCGTGAACTTGCAGATGTTCAAGCTGGATTTAGAAAAGGCAGAGGAACCAGAGACCAAATTGCCAACATCCGTTGGATCATCAAAAAGCAAGAGTCTCCAAAAAACATCTACTTCTGCTTAACTGACTATGCCAAAGCCTTTGACTGTGTGGATCACAACAAACTGTGAAAAATTCTTCAAGAGATGGGAATACCAGATCACCTTACCTGCCTCCTGAGAAATCTGTAGCAGGTCAGGAAGCAACTGTTAGAACCAGACATGGAACAGCAGACTGGTTTCAAATTGGGAAAGAAGTACGTCAAGGCTGTATATTGTCACCCTGCTTATTTAACTTATATGTAGAGTACATCATGAGAAATGCTGGGCTGGAGGAAGCACAAGCTAGAATCAAGATTGCTGGGAGGAATATCAATAATGTCAGATACACAGATGACACTGTTTGGTAGTTAGAAGAGGAAAAAAGAGGGTCCACAAAAATAGAACAAAGGAAGTTCCAGGACCAGAGTGAAGACCCCAGGTAAAACAAACAGCCCTCCTGGCTTGCTCAATTTACACAGGGCGGGCTGAGGGGGGAGGAGACAAATGCATAAAGGGAGGAAGCCTAGAAGGATTGAGGCCTCTCTTATCTTGTCTTTTGGGTCAGCCCGCCCTCACTCCTCGAGGGTGTACTAGCCTTTGTTTTTCCTAAGAAAACTGAGCTGTAACACTGATTCATCCATTGCTTCAAATTTTTGCTGCAGCAAGACAGAACCGAGGAAATTACATGCTCCCCCAACAACACCATCCTTATGGCAGAAAGTGAAGAGGAACTAAATAGCCTCTTGATGAAACTGAAAGAGGAGAGTGAAAAAGCTGGCTTAAAACTCAACATTCAAACAATTAAGATCATGGCATCCGGTGCCAACACTCCATGGCAAATAGATGTAGAAGCAATGGAAACAGTGTCAGGCTTTATTTTTTGGGCTCCAAAATCACTGCAGATAGTGACTGCAGCCATGAAATTAAAAGACGCTTGCTCCTTGGAAGAAAAGCTATGACCAACCTAGATAGCATATTAAAAAGCAGAGACATTACTTTCCCAACAAAGGTCCATCTAGTCAAAACTATGGTTTTTCCAGTAGTCATGTATGGATGTGAGAGTTGGACTATAAAGAAAGCTAAGTGCTGAAGAATTGATGCTTTTGAACTGTGGTGTTGGAGAAGACTCTTAAGAGTCCCTTAGACCACAAGGAGATCAAACCAGTCAGTGCTAAAGGAAATTAGTCCTGAATACTCATTGGAAGGACATGCTGAGGCTGAAGCTCCAAGACTTTGGCCACCTGATGCGAAGAACGGACTCACTGGAAAAGACCCTGATGCTGGGAAAGATTGAAGGCAGGAGGAGAAGGGGATGACAGAAGATGAGATGGTTGGATGGCATCACCAACTCGATGGACATGTTTGAGCAAGCTTCGGGAGTTAGTGATAGACAGGGAAGCCTGACATGCGGCAGTCCATGGGGTCGCAAAGAGTCGGACTCGACTGAGTGACTGAACTGAGACCTAGCCTCTCTTAATGGTGTATTTTCAGGCATTCAGAGATTGCATTATACTGGGTGTTGTCAGCGTGCCTTTCCACCTACTGTGTAGGGGTGTTTCCTTTCCTCAGGCTCTTCTGCCTTTAGTGTTTGTAGCCTCCTGAGGATGCTCTGATGGGAGTGATGGGACTTGCTTTCTTGTTTGCATGTTGATTGGCATTCCTGCAGTATTTAGGGATGCTGAGCATCTTGTCCTGGGGTAGAGGTTTGGGTCTTTGTTTTTTCCATGAACGGTGTGAGGAAAATCTACCTGTGGCAGTTGGCTTCCTGAAAGCCGGTTGTGTTTGGAATTTATTTCTGCAATTCCTGCCGCAGGACATGTCCTGAGGACAGCTGTCGTTAACAGACCACAACGCTAGAGAAACAGAGGTGCCCGTAAGCACCGAGGTGCAGTTGTAGTACAGAAAGTGTCCACAAGGTGGCGGCACTTTCTCCTGGCCACCTCTGGTTCCTTGAGCAAATCGGCTTCCTGGGCTGTGAACTGGAGTGGAATGGGCCTGAGCAATATCTTAAGGGGTTGTGCCTCGCTTCTTCCCCCTAAAGCTTCACCCCTGCCCTCCAGACTCATTCCAACCGGGGCCACAGCACCCTGCTGAGGGGCCTAGGAGGCTGCACTCTCAAGAAGGAAGCTTGAGTTGGGGACCCCAGAGGTCCTGGGGGCTAGGTAACATTTCCAAGGTCTTGGAAGATAGAGGGCTGGGTCCACATCCTTTGGGAGCACTAGGACTCTGGTCTCAGGAAGATCAGACGGAGGAGGTTTAAGAGGGGTCTCAATCAAGGGCTCCTTGCTCGGCTGTCTCGACTCCACCCCAGTCCAGGGATGGGACCCAAGCCTGCTCAGGCTCCAGGGATGGAATAGCAGTGCAAGTCAGGAAGGTTGGAGGGAATAAACAAGGCAATGCTTTTATTTTCTTTAATTTCATGCCTATGCTATGTTGGAGTGTATTAATTTTGCAGTTTTCTGTTTGTTGTCAGTGTATAGCTGCCTGATTCATTTATGACATATACGTACATATACATACATACAAATTCTATTTATTCTTTTGCCATAGAGGTTTTTGCAGAAGGTCAGCATAGTTTCCTGTGCTGATTACCAGCTCCTTGTGGAGTATCTAGTATAGACACAAATATCTGTGTATGTGTTATTCCCAACCTCCTAATTAATTCCTTGGCCTTTTCTTTTTAATTTTTAAAAAATTCTTATATTTGCATTGTCAGAATCAATTTTTGTGTGGTAATTTAGTTCCTTTGTATCTCTTTCTAAATTTTGCCTAGAAGGGGACATCACATGCTCTTGTCTTCCTCTGTCCCGCTGATTTCGCTTTGTATGTGATCCTCCAGTGTCCATTTCTATGGCTACAAGTGGAATAATTCATAATTTCAGTGGCAGTTTTTCATTGCTAAATAATAGTCCATTGTCTATAAGTACCAGGTCTTTGCTAAGCTTTAATCTATCAGTGGACATTTTGCCGGGTCTGTGTCTTGGCTCCTGTAAGTAGTGCTGAAGTGAATGTTGGGTGCATGTGACTTTTTGAATAATGGTTTCTCAGGATATAGGCTGAGATGTGGGAATGTCAGATCCTAAGGTTAGCTCTCTTGAATTTTTGTTTTCTGCCATGCAGAGGCTGTCAGTTCTAGTGGCTGTTGCCAGTGTTCCTTCAGCCGGGCATGTGGGGGGTTCCCCATTCCTCTCTTCTCTTTCCCACATATATTGTTTGTAGACTTGTGAGAATGGTCATTCTTGACTGGCGGGATTTGATTTCTTGTTGTTTTGATTAGCATTCCTCCTGCAATAATTAAGGATACTGAGAATCTTGTCTTGTGGTGGTTAGGGTATTTTTTGTTGCATTTTTTTTCCCTTTTAGGCATGTGTGGAAATTTTATGTTTTGATTGGCATCTTGCAAGTTGGGTGTGTTTGCAATTTCAGTTCAGTTCAGTCGCTCAGTCGTGTCCAACTCTTTGCAACCCTGTGGACTAGAGCACGCAGTCTTCCCTGTCCATCACCAGCTCCCGGAGCTTGCTCTAACTCATGTCCACTAAGTCAGTGATGCCATCCAACCATCTCATCCTCTGTCATCCCCTTATTCTCCTGCCTTCAATCTTTCCCAGCATCAGGGTCTTTTCCAATGAGTCCATTCTTCATATCAGGTGGCCAAAGTATTGGAGCTTTAGCATCAGTCCTTCCAATGAATATTCAGGACTGACTTCCTGTAGGATTGGCTGGTTGGATCTCCTTGCAGTCCAAGGGACTCTCAAGAGTCTTCTCTAACCCCACAGTTCATAACCATCAGTTCTTCGGTGCTCAGCTTTCTTTATAGTCCAACTCTCACATCCATACATGACTACTGGAAAAACCATAGCTTTGACTAGACAGACCTTTGTCGGCAAAGTAACGTTTCTGCTTTTTAATATGCTGTCTAGGTTGGTCATAGCTTTTCTTCCAAGGAGCAAGTGTCTTCTAATTTCATGGCTGCAGTCACCATCTACAGTGCTTTTGGAGCCCCCCAAAATAAAGTCTCTCACTGTTTTCATTGTTTCCCCATCTATTTGCAATTCATTTATTTAATATTTACCTCAAGACCTTTCTGAGGCAAGCTGTCACCGTCATTCACCTCGTGACTTGGAGGCGCCATTAAATGCCTTTGGTCAAGGTGTAGCTACAGAAAAGGTCCACAGGTGGCAGCACTTCTTGGTGCCCACTCTGGTTCCGGGGGCAATAAGCAGAGCGTTAGGAAACGAGGGCTTCCAGGGCTGTGAAATGGAGTGGGATGTACCTGAGCGAACATTTAAGGGCTTGTGTCTCACTCTTATCCCCCGTAAAACATCACACACACACACACACACACACACACGGCTTCCAGACTAACCCCAACGGGAGCCACAGCGCCTTGCTGGCTGTGCTTCAGTGCCTAGGAGTCCGCACTCTCCGGAAGGAGGCCTGGGCTGAGAACTCCCGAACGAGGAGATGCGGAGGTTAGGAGACTATTGACCCTAAGGTCTTCGAGGACTCGATCCCACTTGAGTCTCTGGTTCCAACCAGAGCACAGCGGACTGTGTATGCTTAAAAAGGGCTCAACGAACACCCTACCAGGCTGTCTCATAAACATAGCAGTCTAGCCTGGACACCCAAGCCTGCACAGGCTCCGGGATGGCTCACAGCCCAAGTCAGGCAGATGGGAGGGAATAAGTAGGCGTTGCTTTTCTTTCTTTTTCTTTAACATCATGCCAGCGCTACGCTGGAGGATCGTCGGTCTGCAGTGTTGTTCTTGTCTTCAGTGAAGCTGCCAGATTCAGGTATAAGGTATCCACGGTGTATCTCTATTGCATTTTTGAACTTTTTAACATAGATAGAAGGTCAAGAAGAGTGCCAACATCAGGTCCTTGTGAATTATATATCTCAGATACACATTTCTGTGTACATAAAGAAGTGAGGAGATAATTTTTGTGGATTATCTCTTAGATACAGATTTCTGTCTTTAGAGATACAGATTGCTGCCTATATAGGGGAGGCAGAAAGGAAGTGAAGAGGAAAAGTTAAGATTTTACATAACCTCCTGCTCATTTTGCCTCTCTAACTCAGCTTGCTCCTTGCAAAGTCTGGATCACGTAGGTCATGTAGTCTCAGAAAGTGGGGACTTACAATACTGGGAACTGGAGCTTATTTCACTTACCCTTGTCCTGCTCTTTGCAATTGCCCAGTCCCTGAAAACCTGCTTGATCATGCCTGTCCATGTGAAGGTCAGGCATCCCCCTCCCCATCTTGACTACTGTTCCCAGGTGCACAAAACCCCTTAGTTTAAAACAGCCTATTAGCAGCTAGTGTTGCCCACTGTCTGTCTATAAAAACTCTGTGACACCTTTGTTCAGGGCTCAGAGCTTACACTGTTAATTCCTCTGGGCCTGCCAGCATAATAAACCTGATTCTCCAGCTCTCTGATACAGTGCTTGGTTTCTTGAGTACTGGTTTCTGGAACATTTCTGGAGGCCCAGTGAGATTCCAACCACGCCGGCCCCTTGAGCCGCCAGATTGATGGCTCGGCTAGGCTGGAGCAAGGGAACTCCAAGACAAACAAGGAGGCTTGCCACCTGTCAGTATTCTGGGGTCTCTTTCAGACTGGTGTTTTGACTCTCCAGACGGTCGAGCCCCAACTGGACTCATTGCAGGGATGGGCCACTCACCAGGAATGGCCGCAGGACCAGGTAAGGCCCCAGGGCCAGTCCCCAGTCACGTCCTACCCCAATGGGTAGAGGAGGGGACTGATCACCTCCTTGGAGCTCCCAGGAAGGGAGCAACAGGTAAGGAAACCAGGGGACTCGGGAGAAGGGAGGCATTGTGATAGCCTCTGAGATTGTGAGTGTGTGAGTGTGTGATTGCTGACTGAATGGAGTGAGAGAAATTTTTCTTTTTGGAAACTGCAAAACCAATTCATTTTGCATATGCAACTAAAAACAATTAGCTTGTTAAAAGGCCTGCCTAGGAAAAAGCTTGAAGTTAACCCTTTCCAGGTCCTTGAAATACATAGCCCACTTTGCCTAAGACCTCAGCCTGGGCAAACTACAACTTCAAGCAAAGAAAAAAAAGGCGTCAAAGAGATATTTTAAATCTCAAACAGAAAACTATAAGATCTCTCTCTATCTGACTGTCTGGATTTATGTATGTTTCAGTGTATGTCTTTTGTTTTTTTCTGATAATACTGTTAAAGTCATAAATGAGTTCTAATTTAATGGGCCTAAAGAAAAGTAAGTGCTTATAAATCAAACAATTTCAAATACAAGAAAAATTAACCTAAATAAATTTCAGATTCATAGGAACTGGAAAATATTCAACATTAAATATCTAGTATTAATGTTTGTTTGCTAATCTAATAAGGAAAGTAGGATGTATGTTTTTAGTAAAGAAGGTATAAAAAATAAAATTATATTTTATAAGGGGAAAAGAAATTAGATTTGACTTACAGGTGGCTGTTACACAAACTGATTAAAAGGTTGATGGAAAGTGGACCCTGAAAAAAAGTTTTGGGCTTGGTTAGGACTAAGTTTAAAATAAATTTAATTAAGTTTACGTAAATGAGTTTAAAGTAAACTGGTGCAAAAACTTGAGTTTGGTCTTTCTCTCTGTTAGGAGGACATACTTTCTTCAGATGCTGAACTGCTTTTAATAATAGACTTAAGTTTCTTTACCTCTTAATTGATCTGTTCTATATTTACCTTTGAAATCTTTCGTTAACTTTGGTTAAGTAAATAACTATTATTTCACAGTAACTTATATGATCCTACCTGATCAAGTGTTATAAACCCTTTTGATATTTATTGACAAAACTTCCTAAATAACTTGACTTCTAGCTAACTTTGGGATGCTTCAGAGGGCTCCTGAGACATCCCAAATAACTATTAAGCTACCTAGGTTCACTGCACATGTTAAATTACATAAGAAGTACTGTTGAAGGGGTGGTAAATCTTTTCAGGTTATACTGTATGGTTGATGTTACTAATATAGATATCCTAGAATTATGTGAAATTCATTTAGATCTGATATGCCCTGATAAAATATGGTCAATTATAATTCTAGTTATCATATTAAAGTGTTATGACCAGGTTTCTTTTTCAATTGCAATAGAATCATATTTTAAACATGCCTTCTATGGTTTTACTCACATGCCTTTAGAAAAATACTGCTAATTCTTCAAGTTTTTTGAAAAAGACTTTCTAAGATTAAGCAGATAAACAAATTTTGTCATTAACAGTAAGCTGGTACCAGACTGGAATTTGGTCTTCTCTCTGTTTAGAGAAGAAAATTTTCTTAGAATGCTGCTTTTGATAACAGATTATGAATTTCTTTGTCTTTAAGTGATTTATATTTGCTTTTAAAATCTTTTTGTTACTTTGGTAAAGTAAATAAACATTAATTAAGGTTGTGGGACATGTAGACAAAGCTCAATATGCTTCTGTGAAAAATAACTCATCACGGTTAGACTTTTGCTATCCAGGTGTCCTGAAAACATGGCAATAGTTTGCAAAGAAATAGAGGAAAACAATAGAATGGGAAAGAATAGAGGTCTCATCAAGAAAATTAGAGACAGCAAGGGAACATTTTATGCAAAGATGGGCTCAATAAAGGACAGAAATGCCAGGGACCTAACAGAAGCAGAAGATATTAAGTAGAGGTGGCAAGAATACACAGAAGAACTGTACAAAAAAGATCTTCACGACCCAGATAATCACAATGGTGTAATCACTCACCTAGAGCCAGACACCCTGGAATGTGAAGTTAAGTGGGCCTTAGGAAGCACCTCTACGAACAAAGCTAGTGGAGGAGATGGAATTCCAGCTGAGCTATTTCAAATCCTGAAAGATGATGCTGTGAAAGTGCTGCACTCAATATGCCAGCAAATTTGGAAAACTCAGCAGTGGCCACAAGACTGAAAAAGGTCAGTTTTCATTCTAATCCCAAAGAAAGGCAATGCCAAAGAATGCTCAAACTACCGCACAATTACACTCATCTCACATGCTAGTAAAATAATGCTTAAAATTCTCCAAGCCAGGTTTCAGCAACACGTAAACCGTGAACTTCCAGATGTTCAAGTTGGTTTTAGAAAAGGCAGAGGAACCAGAGATCAAGTTGCCAACATCCACTGGATCATCAAAAAAGCAAGAGAGTTCCAGAAAAACATCTATTTCTGCTTTATTGACTATGCCAGAGCCTTTGACTGTGTGGATCATAATAAACTGTGGAAAATTCTGAAAGAGATGGGAATACCAGACCACCTGACCCGCCTTTTGAGAAATCTGTATGCAGGTCAGGAAGCAACAGTTAGAACTGGACATGGAACAACAGACTGGTTCCAAATAGGAAAAGGAGTTCGTCAAGGCTGTATATTGTCACCCTGCTTATTTAACTTATATGCAGAGTACATCATGAGAAACACTGGGCTGGAGGAAGCACAAGGTGGAATCAAGATTGCCGGGAGAAATATCAATAACCTCAGATATGCAGATGACACCACCCTTATGGCAGAAAGTGAAGAAGAACTGAAGAGCCTCTTGATGAAAGTGAAAGAGGAGAGGGAAAAAGTTGACTTAAAGCTGAACATTCAGAAAACTAAGATCATGGCAAATAGATGGGGAAACAGTGGAAACAGTGGCTGACTTAATTTGTCTGGGCTCCAAAATCACTGCAGATGGTGATTGCAGCCATGAAATTAAAAGATGCTTACTCCTTGGAAGGAAAGTTATGACCAACCTAGACAGCATATTAAAAAGCAGAGACATTACTTTGCCAACTAAGGTCCATCTAGTCAAGGCTATGGTTTTTCCAGTGGTCATGTATGGATGTGAGAGTTGGACTATAAAGAAAGCTAAGCACCGAAGAATTGATGCTTTTGAACTGTGGTGTTGAAGAAGACTCTTGAGAGTCCCTTGGACTGCAGAGATCCAACCAGTCCATCCTAAAGGAGATCAGTCCTGGGTGTTCACTGGAAGGACTGAAGCTGAAGCTGAAACTTAAATACTCTGGCCACCTGATGCGAAGAGCTGACTCATTGGAAAACACTCTGAAGCTGGGAAACATTGGGGGCAGGAGGAGAAGTGGAAGACAGAGGATGAGATGGTTGGATGGCATCACCAACTCAATGGA